TTTGGGAAAACTCCTCTGATACCTTGGGGACAAAGAAGAACAAGTTGATTTCTTTTCCAAAGATCTTGTCTTTTAAACAATAAAGGTAAGAGGGAAGAGAAAAAGTCTTAAAAAGAATGTTGCTATCATTTCTAAATTTTTTACTTCGGTCATGTAACTATTAGGAATTAAACATGTGGTTGCATATATCACTACTCCATTGCTCTGTCACTTTTTAAAGTCTTCCTCTCACTCAATGGTGCCCCTTCTCTCAGCAGGCACTGCCTTTCATCACAGACTACATGAAAGCACCATGGGTAAACTCTGTACTTCCTGCTCCACAGTGGTAAATTGTCTGGACAGAATTTCTTATTCTAGCTGGCTCCATCCTGCCTCCTATCTTAGGTTAGTCTCTCTCTCTCTCCTTTGACAAATCAGTCTGTGAATTCTCACATTTGTTAAACTACAGATTTCCAAATTATTGAGGAGTCATGATATCAATTTGAGGGCTAAGGTGCATCTATCTGATTGAGGCCATAGTCTTCCCAATCACTTGCTATGCATCTGAGAGCTGGACAATGAATAGGGATGACAGCAGAAGAATTGATGCCTTCAAAGTGTGATGTTAGAGAAGAATACTAAACATGCCATGAACTACCAAAAGAACAGACAGATATGTCTTGGAGAGAGTACAGCTGGAGTGGTCTTTGAAGGCAACGATGACAAGGCTTCTTCTCATACTCTTCAGACATGTTGCTAGGAGGAGCTATTCCTTCGAGAGGGATATGATTCTGGGAAGGGTAGAGGGCTGATGAAGGAGAGGAAGACCCTCAAACAGATGGATTGACATGGTGACTACTGCAATGGGCTCTAGTGCATCAGGAAGTACAAAGATGGTACAAAATAGGCTAGAGTTCAGATCTGTTGTTCAAAGGGTCACTATGAGTAGTACTCACTGGCACCTAACAACAACAGCAACCCTTTTGGTTTACTGCCTCCAGCATATAAACATGTCCCAATCTCTTCATCTTCAACTAATAAACACAGCCTTTTCCAAGGCCAGTGACTGTCTCTCATCTTCACCAGATATCTTTTTGGAATGAGGAATGTCTCATTATTTTCTAGTCCCTACTCCTCTTCAGCAGGATATTTCTGTAGCCTCATCCCTGGCTACAATAGCTAATTTCTTGGTTGCCAAACCCAATGGCTATTATTCAGTCCTTATTGTGTCTGATTCCTTGGTAACTTCTCAGAATAGCCTTTTGTTTCCTATTAAAATGCCCCTTCTCCTCTATTGCCCCTGTGTTCCTTTTATCATCCTTTTTGATTTAAAATTCTTCATTTTTCATTAATTCTGACCTACCTGTAAATGCTGTTATTCCTCAGAAGCTATTTCTTCCATCTCCTCATAGTCTACAGAATTCCTTCATGGGTTTTTGCTTTGTTTAGTTTTTGTTTTTGTTTTAAAGGGAAAGAACACTTTTATTTTCTACTTATTTCAACCCTAGTACCTCACTAGCTCAGCTGGGAAAATTAGAACCATAAAGGCCTCATTCCTTCATGGTTTTAACTCTCTTTTTTCCTGCTACTGACTCCCAGATCTTCTGAGTTCTATCCCTACATATTCTTGGAACATATTCCCCAAACAGCTTGAGCTCGCTGTGTCTACTAAAAGAAATGATAAAAAGTTTATAGGTATTAAGGTAACAATTGCCTTCTCCAGTGTCCTAAAAAGCAACATCTCTCAGTAGAGACATGATCTGTGTGTGTTGTGTGTATGTGTGCACCTGTGTGTATGCTTATGTGAGTGTAAATGAAAGATGAAGAATTTTAGATAAGCTATAAAGGGGGAGGGTTTTGGTGTTTGGTTTTTTGTTGGTTTTCTTTCCTTTTTTTAATGAGAACAATATGGAGAACCTGGAAAGAATAATCTTGGGCACCTAGGGGAGAGGGCATCATGGAGGAGCAGAGAGAACAGGAGGAAAAAAGGAAAATAGAAAGGGGAAAAAAAGAGAGTTTTACTAATTGATTAAGATGATCAGATACTGAAAAGAAAGGAAGACAATTTTTAAAAGGAGAGAATTAAGGTTGCATAGAGAAGTGTACTTGGGGTGGGGGGTGGGGGGAAGGGACGTGGGAATTGTATACTAATGAAGGAATTTTTTTCTTTTTTTTTTTTCTCTCTTCGGAGGAGGAAGTGAGCTGGTGGGGAGGGGTGGGAAGGGAGAAAATTGCGGCAATGAATGAATGGAAATCCAAAACCTCTGTAAAAAAAATTAAATAATTATTAAAAAAAAAAAGGAGAGTTTTGGAATGTTCGGTCACACTACATGCACTGAGAAGAGTTTCCACCAGGAATGTATTCCTGTCTCCATACTTTTCAATCTGTATGCAGAACAGATCATCCAGGACGCTGGGCTATAAAAGAAGTGTGACATCAGGATTGGAAGTGGACTCATCAACAATCTGTGTTATGTAGATGACACAACCCTGCTTGCAGAAACTGAGGAGGACATGAAGTACTTGCTGCAGAAGGTCAAGGACTGCAGCCTTCAATATAGATTGAAGTGCAACATGAAGAAAACAGAGATTCTCACCACTGGGCCAATTGGCAGTATTATTATGGATGGTGAAAAGTTTGAGATAGTTAATAGTTTTAGATTGCTTGGCTCCACAGTCAACATTCTTGCTACCAGCAGCCAGGAAATAAAAAGACAAATTGCATCAGGAAAGTCTGCTGCCAGGGACCTCTCCAGAGTACTGAAGAGCAATGATGACAGTCTAGAGACTAAGGTGTGTCTTATCTGGGCCATAGTCTTTGCAATTGTGTGCTATGCGTCGGAGAGCTGGACAGTGACTAGGGATGATAGAAAGAGAATTGATGCCTTTGAGCTGTGGTACAGAAGAGTGTTGAATATACTATGGACTGCTAGGAGAACAAACAAGTTTGTCCTGGAGAAGGTGAAACTGGGATGCTCCCTGGAGGCAAGGATTCTGAAGCTTCAGCTTACATACTTTGGGCATGTTGCAAGGAGGGACCAGTCGTTCGAGAGGGATATCATGTTTGGGAGAGTGGAGGAACAGCACAGGAGAGGAAGACCCTCGATGAGACGGATCGATTCAGTGATTGGGGTAATGAAAGTAGGTGTGCCAGAGACAGAGAGGTTGGCAACAGGATAGAGCAGGGTTTAGGGGTCTTGTACATAGGGTTGTTATGAGTCCCAAGCTACTCATAACAACAACAACAACATTCACTGAAATTTTGTTCATTCTTTCTATTTGTCTTTGCTTCTTTTTCTCTTCCTTTCTCTTCTAGTCTTCTATCTATCCTTTCCTCCTATTCTTCTTTTTCTTCCTATTTGCTTATCTTACATTTCTGTGTTCATTGGACTTTAAATTCATCCTCATTGTTTTCTCTATTGCATTTTATTGTCACTGTTTGCATGTCTATCTTTTCCCATCCATGATGGACTTTAAGGACTCCATTTTGTATTTTACTCATTTGTTACCTCTGAGTAACATTAAAGTATTCAGTATAGGACAAGTGTTTAGGGGAATTTTACATTAAAGGTCAGAGGAAATGTCTTTATTCTTACAACCCTTAAAAGTAGAACATAAGTACTTTTTATCTTAGTGATAATAGCTCAGAACTTACAAGGCACAAATAAGACTGTTATAGCAAAATGCCTTTAATTCTACTCTTAAAAAACTAATAAAAAATCAAATAATACCCACTCAGTATTTTTATCTCTCTCTTAAATGCATTAGAAGTTCTAATGGCTTCCCTATAAGCAAGTTGGACAAAAGCATTAGTGACCAGCCATCACTAATTCCCTCTCTTGAGGTGGCCTGTTGTCCCTGTCAAGACCAACAATGATGGCATCCAGCACCAACCTTCCCTTTCAGGTCCTCTCTATTCTGTAATAATGAATTAAAACCACTCTCTAGTAATTATCACTAACTTTTTAGCATGAAGAAAATTCCAGTGGCTAGTGGAAAAGAGTTTCATTGCCAACCCAAAGGCAAGTGACTCAAACCAGCCAGTTCTACAAAAGAAAGAAAGATAAGCAAACTCCTCCTTCTCATTTGACAGCCTCTGGCAAAATGCTGGAGGGTCAGCTAAGAGTCAGTTCCAACTCAAGAGCTGTAAGTTGGAGGATTTGTTATTGTTGTTTGTTTAGTTATAATATAGATGGCTTCACATGGTGTACATAAGAGTTGTATCTCTAATTTTCTTGTCATTGCTGTGTACTGTACTGTGGAGTCAGAATTGACCCATAGCTGACTCTCCAGTGGATTTTCAGAAGCAGTAAATCACATGAGAGAAGTTTGCCCACCCTTCTTTCATGGAGCAGCTAGCATATTTGAACTGCATGCGTTTGAAATTGCAGCACAGTTTCTTACCAGTAGGCTACCAAGGCTCCATCTAATTTTCTTAAGTGAGAGAATTTGACATTTTCACTCACTGTGGGTCATCTTTTCATGAAAAAACATTAACTTAATTTTCAACTTACTCATAGAAATATACATACTAGATACTTAGAGGGAAAAAATTTATGATAAGGGGTGGGCTTTCTATATTATAAAATAGTTTGTATTCACTTCCAGAGAATAGAGCAAGCCTACCTCTCTGTGTGACAAATAAGTAAGGGGAAGTTATCACTAGCTACCATCATTGCTGGTCTTCTTACATATAGTTTCACGATAGACAATACATTTTGAGCGTACTAGTCTAAATTATGCTTTCAGTGCTTTTAACATGAAAGAAATGACAACCCTGGAGAGATACGACACATCTTTTAAAATTCCCACTTAAACCATGAGATGCTCTGCGAAGTGGGGCCTACCCTCTCAAGACTTCCTGTGTGGTTTGCATTTTGATCACTGGTTCCAATTTCTTCATTTCCCATTTCTTGGTTAACAGAAAATAAAGCAGATTCTCAAGGCAGACCTTTGACTCACAATGTGCTCATTCTTTCAACAGAACATATTTATCGAAGCAATAGAAGGATAAAGGGATAATGATACTTTATCTGGGTTGCATATTTCTTTGGATTGTCTCAAGAGAGAGAATCAAAGGAGTTAATGTTCCAGGTAGGTGTCTTTCAATTTCCCCAGTAAACTGCAAGTCTTGTGGTCAACATTTAAAGTGACAGCCAACATGACGTAGCTGCCATATGGTATATCAACCTATAATGTTACACTACTTCTTTTAAAATGGGGAAAGAGAGAGACATTTGGGGGGCAAAGAGCTCAACCAACATCAAATAACAATGATTAATTATGTCAGCAGAGATGGGTGCTCAGAGGAAAGAGGTGGAGAGGCGTATCTAGTGGGTCAGCTATTTTGAATGGGAATCTCTGTCATTAACTGTAGATACTAGAAAGCATTTAGAGAATAAGCTTTTTATCCTCTGCAAAGCTGAAAGAGTAAAGAAGACACACAAAGAAAATTAGTCTCTGTTAAGTCCAACCCTCTTGTAGAATCAAGAAGTTAGTATTTAATCTTCGAATTCATTTTTTTGCTACATTGTGGTTTTCAGATTGCTCCACCAAAAAACTCATTTGGACATATCATGCAAGGAATGAAGAGGAATTTCTATTATTTTGTGATCTTCCAGAGCTACAGAAATCTCATTTCTCTCACAGAAATCAACTTTCACCAGCACAAGTCCCTGAACAGGGGCCCTGCAGTGGCAGTAAGAACCTATCTGATGTCCAATGGTACTTACAATCACAAAACGAAGACCCACAACGGGAGATCAGTAGAAATTATCCTCGTATCCTGAATGCCCTTTATTTTTCTCCCATAACCATGAAAGATGCTGGGTCATATATCTGTCGACCTAGGATTAGGTATGTTCCAATGCTTTGCTATCTTAAAATAGTCTCATATCCTTAATTATTGGTATTTAGTATCTATGATCACTGGACCTTGCTAACTCTTCTAGGAACCCCCAGGATGATGGCTGTTGTATCAAGATGATTGTAGTAGTCAAGCCCAAGAAAAACACATCCTGCTCAGATGCTGGACATGAGCAAACTCTTCGTTTGGGTAGATTGGCATCAATTTCTTGTCCCGGTCTTAACTGTGAAATTCCCACACAAAGTCCAGAAGTGACCTGGTACCATGTAAGAATGATCTCCTGAAGTTGAAATGAGTAATTTTTTTTAATGTTAACATATTGAGAGTTGCTTCATATCAATGTGAGTTTGAGAATTAGAGGACTAAGTTTCTCATGGGCTTGCCCCAAAGTTATGGTCAAAACTTGAAATGGTTTCCCCTCTTGCTTTTCTTCAGTCATAGACCTGATATTTCAATGATTAACACCTTCTTTTTGATAAAATGTAATTATATTACCCATGAAGTAAGACATAGAATTACATCTTGTATACTTTGGCATATTGAGAGGGGCCAGACTTTGGAAGAGGAAATAATTCTTGGAAAGATGGAGCAATGGCAAAGAAGGGGAAGAACCTCAACAAATGGACTGACACAGTGACTGTAATGGTGGGCTCAAACTTGTCAGAGGTTAGGCAGATGGCACAGGATAGGGTAGGGTTCAGATCCATTGGTCAAAGGGCTGCTGTGAGTCATAGTTGACTTAATGGCACTTAACAACAACATCAAAGTTAATGCAGAAAGATTAACTCATTTTCACTATGTTTTGGAAAGCAGTGAGCATTTGTTAGGGAATTGAAACACAAAACAAGTACATTTTAAATACTCTGTGAAAGACTTAGGAGATGGACTAGTTTTCAAGGAGGATAGGTGTGGGAGAAAAGTAACGGCAAACAAGAGATAGTATCAGACAGTAAGTATCTTTCTTGCACAGCAAAGAGAGAAGGGAACGCAGTCCTAAAGAGAAAAGACAAGAGACAGGAAGTTTCATTGTGACGTTGATGTCACAGAGGAGAAACATTCAGAACAAAACCACTTCATATTTTCATCCCACTTTATATCATTTTTCCAAGTGCTAACATTTGGAAGTGTCTTTTCCAAAGGAGTCAGTTAACCTCTGCATGGTATAATTTAAAGGATAAAGTTTTAAGTTTCTCTAGGAATTGCAAGTGGTTTTTAAAAATGTAGAATTTTTGCCTTATTCAGGAAAAATTTCAAGTTTTACTTTGTTATCTCTTAGTCTAAACATAGTTTTAAGTTGCCACTGACTGAAGTAAAACAAAAAGATGAAATCTGTTTATGTGAAGGTTTTATATACTTCAAAAGAAAAAATTAGTGACCCTTGAGGGTACAGAAAGTCCCTAAGGTGGTGTCATTACTGAGCTAAGGGCAATGTGTGTGGGAGGGGTTTTGTTACTTTTTGTTGGGGGGAGGGGGCAGAAGAAGGCACCAGGCAAAAGGCTAATGAATTACCTGCTAATAAAAAAGCTGGAGGTTCAAATATATCCAGAGACATTTTAGGAAAAAGACTCAGAAATGGACTTCTAAAAAATTACCCATTGAAAACCCCACAGAGCACAGAGATGACTGTGAGTTGGCGTCAACTGGACAGCAAATAATCGTTTGGGCTATAATGATTGTGGTCTGAGAAGATGTTTTCTTTCTTGATTTTCTTATGGCTCTCTGGTCATAGATAGATAGACACATGTTATGATGTCACTATGAAATTATTTATACAGAGAGAGGGTAAGCAATGTGTTTAAGGACTCACTTTTGAATTTCATAGCTACAATGAAAGCATTATTGCCTCAATAACATCCTAATTTAAGAAACACATTCATTTCATAACAGCTACAATGAATTGAATAGCCAGTCATCTGCTCATTATTTTCAGTTCTCTCCAAATAACAAAAACTCCACTGGTTTAGAAGACCCCGTATTTGGGCTCTTTCTAGTTTTCTCGCTGTGGCTAGTAAGTGTTTGCAGGCCAGTGACGTTGACTGAGCCTCAGTGACATTGTTGGTATGTCAATAGAACCCATGCTCAGAATAACTTTTCCGTTGGTGGTTTTAAGAAAATCTCATTTGTTTGCTGAAATGCTGATGTGGTTGCTGGCTCTGCGTGTGCATGTGAACTGTGTTCCATGGAATTTCTGCATGTATATCTTCCATTTCTCCTTCTCATTTTCTTTGGCCTATTTAGTAATTATCATCTGTTGTCACTGAGTGAGCCTAGTGATGTAGAAGGGAGCTCTGGTGGCCTAGTGAATAAAGATTTCCCTGCCAACCCCAAACCAGGCAGTTTGAATCCACCAGCAGCTGTTCAGAAGAAAGACGGGCAATTTACACTCATGAGAATTACAGCCTCTGAAAACCCATACAGGGTCTTCTAGGAGTCGGTTCCTAACAACAAGTGACGTGGAGAACTGGTGAGCTTGTTACGACTGTTGTTGTTCGGTGCCATCGAGTCAACTATAACTTATAGTGAACCTATGAACAGATCTGAACCTTGCCTTATGCTACCCCGTCCTCATTATCTCTTATTTGCTCAAGCCCATTGTTATTTCTGTGTCAATCCGTCTTGTTCAGGGCCTTCCTCTCTTTCATTGACCCTCTACCTGCCCCAACATGATGTCTTTTTCCAAGGACTCGTGCCTCCCAACAATGTGCCCACAGTATGTGAGATGAAGTTTCACCATTCTTGCCTGTAAGGAACACCCTGGTTATACTTCCTCCAAGACATGCTTGTTGTTTTGTGAAGTACGTGAGATATCCAGTGTCACAATAAATGGTAAGAGTAGTAAGCCTAAAATAAGGAATCCAAACAAGGATGAAGTAAGAACAATTTAGATAAGATTTTTGAAAACTGTTTCAAGGCTGATATATTTATTCATTCTGTTGTTCTCATGAACATTGCTATTAAATTGATTTTAAATCATATAACCTCATATGTTTCAGAGTAGAAACTGCACCCTACAAGGTTTCAATGACTGTAAGATCTTTCAGAAGTAGATCATTAGGCCTCTTTTGAGCATCACTGAGTTGATTACAAGTGCCAAACTTTTGGTTATAGCCTACGGCTTAACTGCACTACCCAGGGGCTCCATATGCCTTTTAACTACCAGCTATTTAAAACACTATGTTTTTGAAAATATTTTTAAAGACCTGAGCCATGCTATGAGAAATACTGATATATTCTGCTGATTAGCTGAGGTATCCTCCTGAGTACTAAACAAAGGGTAGTTATATTTTTTAAAAAAATCTATCATTTGAAATAAGAATTTTGCAAATATGATTTTAAATACAATCCCTTCATTGCTTGGAGAATATCCTCATTTCAGACTGAAGTTTTACCTCATTGGTTCAAACCTGAAAATTTTTTTCTACAGATGTGATTGAATTGATAAAAATTCTCCGGTTAAAATGTTATTCACTCTTCTTTTCTGAATCAGGATGGAAAATTACTCCCTAACAAAAGAAGCAACCCCATGTCATTAGGTGAAGTCTATGACTTTAACAGTGGAACATATACATGTGATTACAAGCAGTCGAATAATACAAATTTTTGGATTGTCAGAGCTGTCATCCAAGTAAAAACAGTCGGTAAGTGAGATGGGTTGATACAGTAAGGGGCAATGGAGATTGGTGAGTCAGAATTAGTGAGACTGGCTCAGGACAGGGCAGGGTTCAGAGCTGCTGTTTATAGATATGGTTGCTATGGGTTGCACTTGCTATGGGTTGCAGGTGATTGATGGCACATAACAACAACAACAAAGTGAGATTTTAATTTTCTGATTTGAGATATGAAAAATTCTTTTGGATTTTTTCCCCCAAGGAAAAAAGAGATAGTTACACAGGCAGAGTCATGTAGAGCCTTCAATTCCCCCTACTTTGCAGTGTTTCCTACTATTCCTTAACACCACTGTGGGGAACTCTGTTGACCTAGTGGCAAAAAGCTGTGCTGCAATCCCAAAGGCATGTGGTTGGAATCTACCAGCGGCTCTCTGGAGGAGAATCAGCAATCTCCTCCATGCAATTAACTGCCTCAGGATGATCGGCTATAAGTGAGTTTCGACTTGGTGGCACACACACACTCACAAAAACACTCTACACCCCTACATGCAAGCAAGATGCTACTGAAGATTATCCAAAAAAGACTGGAACAGCTCATCAGCAGAGAACTACCAGAAGTCCAGGCTGGGTTTAGAAGCGGTCGTGGTGCTAGGGATATTGTAGCTAATGTTAGATGGATCTTAGCTGAAAGCAGGGAATATCAGAAGTATGTCTATCTGTGTTTCATTGATTATGTAAAGGTGTTTGACTGTGTGGATCATAACAAACTGTTGCTGACTCTGAGAAGAATGAGCACTTGATTGTGCTAATGAGAGCCCTATACTTGGACCAAGAGGCAGTCATCAGAACAGAGCAAGGAAACACTGCATGGTTTAAAATTTGGAAGGGTGTATGACAGGGATGGCTTCTATTTCCATACCTTTTCAACCTGTATGCAGAACAGATTTTCCGTGAGGCTGGACTCTATGAGGAGAAGTATGGTGTCAGGATTGGTGGAAGATCTATCAACAATCTGCATTATGCAGATGACACAGCCCTGCTTGCTGAAACTGAGGAGGACTTGAAGTGCTTGCTGCAGAGGGTCAGGTACTGCAGCCTTCAATGTGGATTGAGACTCAATATCAAGAAGACAAAGAATTTCACCACTGGACCAATTGGCAGCATCAGGATGGATGGTTAAGAGATTGAGATTGTTCACAGCTTCAGTTTGCTCAGCTCCACAGTCAACACTCTTGGCACCAGCAGACAGGAAATCAAAAGATGTATTGTAATGGGAAAGTCCACTGTAAGGGACCTTTCCAAAGTACTGAAGAGCAGTGGTGCCTCTCTGGAGACTAAGGTGCATCTGATACAGGCCATGGTCTTTGCAATCACTTGTTTGTTATTGTCAGAAAGTTGGATAATGACTAGGAAGAATAGAAGGAGAATTGATGCCTTTGAGCTGTGGTGCTGGAGAGGAGTATTGAGTGTACCATGGACTGCTAAGAAAACAAACAGATTAATCTGGAGAATGTTAAACTGGGATGCTCCTTGGAGGCAAGGATTCTGAGGCTTTATCTGACATACTTTGGACATGTTGCAAGGAGGGACTGGTCCTTGGAGAGGGATATCATGCTTGGGAGGGTGGAGGGACAGTGCAGGAGGGGATGACCTTCTATGAGGTGAATTCATTCAGTGACTTGGGTAATGGGGATGGGTGTGTCAGAGGCAGTGTGACTGGCAAAGGACAGAGCAGAGTTTAGGGCCCTTGTACATAGGGTCGCTATGAGTCGCAAGCGACTCGACGGCACATAACAACAACAACAACAACCGTTAGCATTGAGACTTCCAAAACCCTAGATATATAATTAGATATATAAAAGTATAATTAGTTATTTTTATAACTCCTTTCTTTTACACTTCAAGTCAATTTCCTCCTATATAAGGATGTTGTTGTTGTTATTGTTGTTGTCGTTGTTGTTGTTGTTGTTGTTGTTATGTGCCGTCGAGTCGCTTGCGACTCATAGCGACCCTATGTACAA